TTGAAGATTTAAATGAAGGACAATCTCTTATACATTAAAAAAGAATAATTTTATTTATTTATTTATGACTGTGCTGGGTCTTCGTGGCTACATGGGCTTTTCTCTAGTTGCAGCAAGTGATCACTACTCTCAAGTTGCAGTGTGCAGGCTTCTCACTGCCGTGGCTTCTCTTGTTTTGGAGCAGGGACTCTAGGGTGCGTGGGCTTCAGTGGTTGTGGCTCCCAGGCTCACGAGCACAGGCTCAGTACTTTTGGCCCACAGGTTTAGGTGTTTCTTGGCATGTGGAATCTCCCAGGATCAGGGACCAAACCTGTGTTTCCAGCATTGGCAGGCAGATTATTTACCACTGATCCTCCAGGGAAGCCCTGCATTTGGTTTTTTACACAACCTTTTGGCCTCATTAGGTACTTGGTTATTGATGTCATACATTATCTGGTTTAGGGAATTAAGACTTTCTTTTCTTTAAAAGGTACTCTAAATAGGAATTGCAGAGTACTACTATGTTGTCTCTAGAAGGAACAGAATTTATTATTTACTTTTCAGTAGAATAGGTACGGGAGAGAATAGACTTCTCAGGAAGGGGCATATCTGAGTACTTTAAAGGATTTTATATTTGCAAGTATTCTGTCTGCTAACACAGTCATGTGCTCTGAGAGACTAAATTTTAGACTCTACAGTTTTGTGCACAAATTGTAACATTTCTTGGTTTTCAGTTATGAAATATTGAAAGTTAATTTGTACAAAAAGCTGTGGCAGGTGGTGACATAATTTTTGCCCAGTACTTTGAATGTCAAAGTGAAGAAATTCACCAAGTTGCAGGTAAATTGATGGGTATAGCTATGAGTCTTGAAAAAGTGAAAGTGAAATCGCTCAGTCCTGGCTGACTCTTTGTGACCCCATGGATTATAGCCTACCAGGCTCCTCCCTCCATAGGATTTTCCAGGCAACAGTACTGGAGTGCATTGCCATTTCCTTCTCCAGGGCATCTTCCCGACCCAGGGATCGAACCCGGCTCTCCTGCATTGTAGGCAGATGCATTACTGTCTAAGCCACCAGAGAAATCTCTCTTAAGGTAGCCAAATTCCTCATCATCTAATTAGGGGTATATATGAATGGAAGAATGATATTCCTACTCTCTTCACCTATTTTCTGATGAAACTACAGCCAAGGGAATGGTTTGGCAAAATCTGTGGATGAAGAGGACTCTGTTGAACCTGACTGTGAACCTGGCATGGTGAAGAGAGACAGAAGATAAAGATGACTGGGAGGCCCTGTCAAGGGCAGGAAGTTCAGGCCTTGGGCCTCCAAATCCATTACCGTATAAACTACTTCAGAATTTGTAAAGAATGAATGTTTTCAAATTCTTTTAAAATATAATTTTGATACCAAAACGCAGTCAAAATTAAAAACAAAAGAGACAACTCTCACCTATGTCTTTAACCCTCCCCCAAAGAGACTGACATAATCAAAATAGAGCATGAACCAGGGAAGATTTAGTCTACTAATTCAAGGATGATTCAATAGTAGAAAATAGAGATTTTGTTATTATTAAAAAGAGAAGAAAATTACATCATCTCCATATGCACTGGAAATGCATTTGAGAAAAACATAATAAACATTCTTTATAGTAACCCTTGAAAGTAGAAACTTTTTTCCTTAAGTTTGTGGAATATATCTATCTGAGCCTCAGAAGCAATACCATGGCACTTGAAGGCTTTTACATTAAAGTTAGAAACTGGACAAAGATATATACTCTGATTATTTAACATTATTCTGTATGCCTTGTCTCACACAAAGGCAAAAAAAAAGATTAGACACGTGAGAATCCAAAGTAAGGGGTTTGTAGATGGCTATATAATTGTATTGTATTATCAGTTGTATATACCCAAGAAAATCATTGAAGAATCTAATTCAAACAAGAGATTTTATAGTAAGGTAGTAGAATCCAAAATTAACATACAGATATTAATAGCTTTTATACATACAAACAGAGGTAAAGAAATAAGCCCAATTATAATGTTAGCAAAAAGAGTAAACTATAAAAATAAAAAGAAACATTGAGGAAAACTTTAAACACTAGAGCACAAAATAGATTGAACAAATGCAAAGATATGAAATGGAAAATAGACTCAACATCATAAAAGGAATTTCCCCCCATTAAATCAATTTATAATTTAACTCAGTCATAATGAAAGCACTATCAGATTTTAGAATCAAACTGATTCAGAAGTTCATATAAAAAAGTAAACAAACAATGGAAGTGAAAATCACTCAGTCGTGTCTAACTCTTTGCAACCCTGTGGAACGTCCATGGAATTCTCCAGGCCGGAATACTGGAGTGGGTAGCCTTTCCCTTCTCCAGGGGATCTTCCCAACTCAGGGATCAAACCTGGGTCTCCCACATTGCAGGCAGATTCTTTACCAGCTGAGCCACAAGGGAAGCCCAAGAATACTGGAGTGGGAAGCCTATCTCTTCTCCAACAGATCTTCCTGACCCAGGAAGCAAATTGAAGCCTCTTGCATTGCAGGTGGATTCTTTACCAACTGAGCTATGAGAGAAGCCCAAACAAACAAGAAGAGCCAGGCAAATATTGAAAAGGTGTGCAGTGACAGAGAGGAAAGAAACTGTTTGCACTGAAACTTGAAATATATTAAAAATGCTTAAGGAATAATTCTCTGGTGGTCAAGTGGTTAGTTCTTTGCACTGTCACTGCTGTGGGTGCGGGTTCAAGCCCTGGTCATGAAACTAAGATCCTGCAAGCCACATGGGTTGGCCAAAAGAAAAAGAAAGACTTAATAGTTAAACAAATTTGGTAATGATGGGTGACTAAACAGATCATTGGAACAGAAGGAAAAATCCAGAAACACCCATATGTACCCAGGAATTAGATACAAATTACAAATGACTTTTCACCTATGAAACAACACATATCATTCAGAGAATGCTGAGAAATGTAAGTTAAAGCCAACAAATTGGCAAAAATCCAAAAGTTTCACAACACACCCAAAGTTGCTGGGGCTCATATAAATTGGTTTAATCCCTTGAAGTCAATTTGCTAATACTGATTACAATTACAAATGTATATTTGTAGTTGACTCAGCAATTCTTTTCAGGTATGTAGAAAGATATATGTGTATTTGAGGTTATTCATTACAGCATTGTTTTTCATTGGGAGCAGTGGGGACTGGTTAAAGAATTAAGAATTACTGGAACACAACGTAGCCGAAAGAAAGGAGTGAGGATGGTTATTACGCATTGATGTGAAAGATCTTCAAGGTATTTTTCAAGTGAGAAAAAGCAAGACACATACCAGTATGTATAACATGCTATTATTTTGTGTGTAAAAAAATTAGAGGGAATCTGTGTTTGAGTTTGCTTATGTATTTATAAGTTAATTCTGTGTGAGTGCGTGCTAAGTTGCTTCAGTTCTAGAAAGATACAAGAGAAACAAGAAGTGTTGGTTACCTTTGAAGGGTATGGGAATTAGACAGGAACTAGGTAGAGGGAGACTGTATATCTTCTGTCATTTTTTTTCCATTTTGAACCAAATGAATGTTTTGTTGAAAAAAGGACATCTAAGACTATTTGCTTGTTTTTGCTTGTTATATTCATAAAGAAACTCTTGAAGGGGACTTCCCTGGTAGTTCAGTGGTTAAGAATCCATCTGCCAATGCGGGGGACATGGATTCCATTCCTGATCTGGGAAGATCCCACATGCCATGGAGCAACTAAGCCCATGTGCCATAACTACTAAGCCTGTGCTCTAGAGCCCGGGAGAGGGAGCCACAATTACTGCAACCCGAGTCTAGAGCCTGTTCTCTGCACCAGGAGAAGCCCTGCAGTGAGAAGCCCCCACATAGCACAAGGAAGACCCAGCGCAGCCAAAAATAAATAAATATTTAAAAAAAAAAAAGAAACTCTGGAGGGATACTTGAGTTGGTGAACATTGTGACATGCTGTCTACCCTCCCTCCAGACCCCCTTTAGGAATGAAAGGTTTCTTGCCCCCAAAACTGAAGGGCTGCTGACAGATGGCTTCAGGTAACAGCCCCCAGGGGTAATGGTTGCCCCTTTTGAATAGTCACCTCACCCGAGGTCACACCCTCTTCCCGGGTGGTCTGCAATTGGTGAGTTATCAACATGGGGGTCTGAAGGGCCAGCTCCTCTTGCCCCACTCAGGGCAACTCTGAGGGGTCAGCCCGGCTTTGGAAATCTCCTTAGCCCTTAACTCTGAATGGTGGCTTGCCTTCTCTTGCTGCTGTCTGTTTTCTTCCAATGAGAGCATTTTTAATAAACCTTCTCCTGCTAAGAGTCTTCTTCATAGGGAACTCAACATGCAGCAAGAATCCAAAACAGTCATTTCCTGTGGTTGGCTTGGGGTGGGAACCTGGTGAATGGGGATAAATTTAGGAAGGAGACTTCACTCTATGCCTTTTTAAAAAAATTTGAAGTATAGTTGATGTACAATGTCATGTTAGTTATAGGTGTACAGCACCATGATTGAGTTGTACATATATTATGTGTGTGTGTCTGTGTGTATATGTATGTATATATACACCTATATATGTATATAAATACACACATATATATATTCTTTTTAGATTCTTTCCCTTAAAGGTTATTACAAAATATTGATTATAGTTCTTCATGCTATACAGTAGGTGCCTGTTGGTTATCTGTTTTATATATAGTAGTGCATATATGTTCATTTCAAACTCCTAATGTATCCCTTTTATAATATAAAAAACATTTTTTTGGAAATGTGGATATAGTACTTATTCAAATCAGAAATAAAAATTTTAAAGTTAATTTGGTATCTGAGTGACCTCTTATCCTTTTCCTTGTGTATTTTTAGAGAACTTTTTAATATTTTAATTTAGGAGGAGCTATTTTAAATCTAAAATACCATGCTTCACCACACTCTAAATATGCTTTTTTCTTTTTTTCTTTTTTTTTTGCTTAGGACCCACTGAGAGACGCCTCCTTGACCTCACATTACAATGGAATTTAAAAAGTCACCTGATGGTGGCTGGGGCTGGGTGATTGTGGCTGTCTCCTTCTTTACTCAGTTTTTGTGTTATGGATCGCCGTTAGCTGTTGGTGTCTTGTACATAGAATGGCTGGACGCCTTTGGTGAAGGAAAAGGAAAAACAGCCTGGATTGGATCCCTTGCAAGTGGAGTTGGCTTGCTTGCAAGTAAGTGGATAACTTTGTGCTTCTCCTCACTCATTAGTTGTTTAATTACATAATTGTTTCCTGCCTCATTAACACGTACAGGCATAGGAGGCTACTTTTTTTAAAGTATAATGCCTACTTTTCTGCTTTCACTGAGATTATAAACTTCTCCTTCCCTGTAATAGTGTGTCTGACAGTCATGTCTGACTTTTTGTGACTCTGTGGACTGTAGCCCACCAGGCTCCTCTGCCCATGGGAATTTCCAGGCCAGAATAGTACAGTGGGTTGCCATTTCCTTTTCCAGGAGATCTTCCTGACCCAGGGACCAAACCCAAGTCTCTTGCATTGCAGACAGATTCTTTACTGTCTGAGCTACCAGGGAAGTCCTCATTATAATAAATCATGTGAAAATACAGAAATTCCGTAAGATATTGAATCATTCATATCTTTATTCATTTACTTGCTGCTGTGTACCAGGCATTGATGCTGGATATGAAAGGATGAATGGCTAACACATAATTTATTTCTGCCTTTAAGAGGTTCAGTCTAGTGAGACACAAATACTTCCACAAGTAAGAAAGATACAAGGGCATGAGGACAGTGATCCATGTATGTCCGAAGAATGCTGGTGACCAAAAGACCAAATGTTTTGCATCAGTCCTGGAAACAGTTCCTCTGTGATTCATAGTTATTCCTCTCTGATTCAGATATACTGTGATCAAATTGCATGTCCTACATTTGTGTCACCTTCTTAAGAAAAATTTGACGTGGCAAAGGGTAGTCCCATCTCACAATGATGATGCCATTAAGGATTTAAATGTAGTGTTATATATGTGATGCATTTTGTGTGACCTTTATATAATGTATCCAGAAGTAATATTCTTGATTAGCACTTATCAAGTATGATACAGTAGTGATTCTTAACATCTTTAGAGAGCATAGTGGAGGGGCTTTTTTTTTAAGGATTATATGCACTTCAATTTCTAGAGTTGTAGTTTGAACTCTGCAATATCTTTAGCGATTGTCAGTCTAACTTACTTGGAACTGGTTAAGAACAGATATGCTGAAAAGTAGCCCTGGAGTCTCTTCCTGTGCTTTGAACTTGACATGGTGATTCAAGGAGCAAATCACAATCTCTGTTCTTATGGGAAAATAAGGACAACACATGTGGTGATTTATAAGATCTTTTTGCAGCTCTAAAATGATTTCCAAAGAAAATGCAATGGCCATTCCTTCTTTTAAACTTGTTGTCTTTCCTGATCACTAAAAGGGACTTCTTAGAACAAAATAAAACATAAACAGTTGCTTCCAACTGATGCATTACCTTGTTAAATTAAAAACAAGACTTGAAAAACAATGCTGGATCATCTGGCCATGTCAGATAAGATAACTAAGCATAATTAAACAAATGAAAATAACACTGTCATTATAAGCTTAAGAAAAACAGGAAACATTTGCCAAGATTTGTTTGAAAGAATTTTTCAAAATGTGGGCTGTTTGTAAAGCTGTCAGAGTACAAGTGAATGGTGGTTGATATGTTTGAGAGTATAATTTTTAGAGAATGATCTGGTGAGAAGAGAATTTTTAAAATGTTGTCCAATTAGTCATCATTTCTATTAGCAAATTCAAAGTTAAATAGGAATGCAATTACTTGCCTTCTAGCAAGAATCAAAGGGTAATTGAAATACTACCTCTATTAGCACATACCTGGAGAACAGAGCTCTCTTTCATGAAGTTTGTCCAGGTAGGACTTGAGGGTTTGAGGGTTCAGGGAAGCTAAGATCATCTTAGGGATGGGTAGGGTGGTCAGAGCTGACGCTGAGACTCTGAACTGTGGCTCTCTGCTTTCTGCAGGTTCCCAGGTGAATGACTAGTTTATCTCGGGGCCACGAGCAGCCCTCTTCACTTAGAGGTAGGACCAGCTACGTAATTTGCAACCCCATGTGTGAAATGAAAATGCAGGACCTTCTGTTAAAAAAGTTAAGAATTTCCAGATAGAGCAGGGCAGCAGACCAAGTGCATGGTCCTTTTCAGAGCCAAGTCCTGTCCCGCTGGTTGGGCTGGAGAGAGAGCATCCCACTGAACATCCAGGGAGTGAACAAGTACTGAGGGGAATGTTGAGCTGAAGTCAGAGTTAGTCTGAGCCCTGGCTCCACTCCCCTGTAGCTGAGGGACCATCTGCAAATCACTTAACTTCAGTGTCTATAGCTAGATGAGGAGACACTTAGACCAGCTAATCAAGACTTTTGAAGATAAGCATAGACTGTGAAGACGAGAGGGTTCCCGAATGAGGGAGCAGTGAGAAGAAAATGTTGACAGGAGACCTAAGACTTATGGGTATGTGTGTGTGTGCATGCCCACGTGCCTGTGTGCCCTTTAGTTAGTGGCCACTGAATATCCATGTTGTTGGCCTCTCTTGGCTCTTCATAGCATAAATTAGGGGACAAATCCTGAGAGCTATGGTAATACAATGTTAGCGAGAGGTGTTGAGCAGCGTTTGAGCCACATTCAGCTTCTACTTTGTCGACCACTTTGTCCTAAGCAGAAACAAACGGATCGGTACTACCTTGGAAACAGAAAAAGTACACCTCACAATGGTTATCAGTGATTCTTTTCTTTTAACTCTATTAACTTACTTACTGTTGGCCGTGCTGTGTCTTCGTTGCTGCACATGAGCTTTCTCTAGTTGGTGGAGAGTGGAGACCACTTTCTGACTTCTCCTGGCAGCAGCTTCTCTTGTCGCAGAGCTCGGGCTCAGCAGTTGTGGTGCACAGGCTTAGCTGTCCCGTGGAGTGTAAGATCTTCCTGGAACAGGGATCGAACCCATGTCCCTTGCATTGGCAGATGGATTCTGGACCAGTAGCCCACCAGGGAAGTCCTATCAGTGATTCTAAAGTAGGGAGATAATCAGAATCATTTGCAGAAAATTTCAGCATATAAATGCCTAGATTAGACCCTTAGGTATTCTAATTCAGTTTATAATGGGGCCCACGTACATGAATTTTTTTCAAGCCTCCAAAGCGATTTTCAAGTTGGGACTACCACTGGCTTAAGACCTCTCTACTCAGATTTCATTCTGGCACTTTTTGATATTTTTCAAATATATGATGCTGTTGACTTATTTAGAAAGAGAAATACTGTAGGTTTCTGCTTGAATGTGTCACTGTGCTCATTCTGTCTAAATCATGACAAATAAATTGTGTCCAGTGGTTCCAGTCTTGTGTTTGCATCCTTCTTGATAAAAACTTAACAAAAAGGCAGAAAGTGAAGAAGAACTAAAGGGCCTCTTGATGAAAGTGAAAGAGGAGAGTGAAAAAGTTGGCTTAAAGCTCAACATTCAGAAAACTAAGGTCATGGCATCTGGTCCCATCACTTCATGGCAAATAGATGGGGATACAGTGGAAACAGTAGCTGACTTTATTTTTCTGGGCTCCAGAATCACTGCAGGGGGTGATTGAAGCCATGAAATTAAAAGACACTTCCTCCTTGGAAGGAAAGTTATGACCAACCTAGATCCTGATGCTGGGAGGGATTGGGGGCAGGAGGAGAAGGGGAAGACAGAGGATGAGATGGTTGGATGGCATCACTGACTCGATGGGCATGAGTTTGAGTAAACTCTGGGAGTTGGTGATGGACAGGGAGGCCTGGCGTGCTGCGATTCATGGGGTCGCAAAGAGTTGGACACGACTGAGTGACTGAACTGAACTGAACTGAGACAGCATATTAAAAAGCAGAGACATCACTTTGTCAACAAAGGTCCGTCTAGTCAAGGCTATGGTTTTTCCAGTGGTCATGTGTGGATGTGAGAATTGGACTATAAAGAAAGCCAAGTGCTGAAGAATTGATGCTTTTGAACTGTGGTGTTGGAGAAGACTCTTGAGAATCCCTTGGACTGCAAGCAGATCTGACCAGTCCGTCCTAAAGGAGATCAGTCCTGGGTGTTCATTGGAAGGACTGATGTTGAAGCTGAAACTCCAATACTTTGGCCACCTGATACGACGAGCTGACTCATTTGAAAAGACCCTGATGCTGGGAAAGATTGGGGGCAGGAGGAGAATGGGATGACAGAGGATGAGATGGTTGGATGGCATCACTGACTCAATGGATATGGGTTTGGGTGGACTTTGGGAGTTGATGATGGACAGGGAGGTCTGGCATGCTGAGGTTCATGGGGTTGCAAAGAGTCGGACACGACTGAGTGACTGAACTGAACTGAATATAACTTGTATGTATATATATGTGTGTGTGCACGTTTATGTATTTATATAAGTACATCTTTGATAGTTGTTCTTCAATTTAGGAGTATATATGAATTACTTGAGCTTTAAAAAGCACCTTTCTTACTCATCAGTGCTGTGAGGGTGGGGATGGTCCCAAGAATCTTCATTTTTTATCATTAAAAAAAGAAATATATATATATATATATGTATGTATGTATTTATTTATTTGGCTGCTCAGGTCTTAGTTGTGGCATGCTGGATCTCTGATCTTTGTTGCTGCATGTGAAATCTAGTTCTCTGACCAGGGATCAAGCCCAGTCTCCCTGCATTGGGAGTGCAGAGTCTTAGCCAGTAGGCCACTAGGCCACTAGGAAAGTCCTAGGAATCTTCATTTTAACTAGTTCCCCAGATGATTTCTTCAGCAAGCTGTATTATAGCTGAGAAACACAAGTTGTTTTCTTTACCCAGTTTTGTCCGGAGAAGGTCTGGTAGGTGTTATCCTTGACCAATTTTGTGATCCAACCTCTGGAGATTTATAGCTGAGCAAGTATAGCAGAAGTACCTTTGGCAAGCAACATACAAATTCTACTTTTTAAAAAATATTTGTTTAACTGTATTTATTTGGCTGCACTGAGTCTTAATTGTGGCATGTGGGATCTTTAGTTGTAGCATATGAACTCTTAGCTGTGGCATGTGGGATCTAGTTCCCTTACCAAGGATCGAACCTTGGCCCCCTGCATTGGGAGCACGGAGTCTTAGCCACTGAACCACCAGGGAAGTCCCACAAATTCTGTTTTTCAT